GCAAACTCTTGGAAGTTGCTTATCTAGCATTGAATGATATGGTCACTTGATTGCAGCCTGGCAGGTGGTTGATTGCGGCCTGCCTCGTGAGGGGCACAAGGCATCAACCGCGTGCACACGCACGGCCCCATGTGCGGCTGTAAGTGCTGCGGAGACGCTTTTTGGCGAGATTCTTCCATCTCATTGGTTGAGTAATGGCGCGCTGCGTGACACCCTTGATCTGGCTGGGTAAGGATCTGGTGATGTGGTTTGGGACCGAACATTGGTGTTTCCCACCTTTGCATAGGAATTGATATCAGTACAGAATCTTGTCAAGGCTGGGTATGATTCTGTGAGATTCAGCGCAAATCTCGGTAGACTCTGCCAGTTGTCGATGCAGCAAAGTTGACGATCAGCATGATGGTTGAGTTGGACCGATTTGTTTTTCCCAAAGAAAATAGAAATGCAGCAACAGAGAAAAGAGATGCCGACAATCTGGAGAGATCTCAGCTTCCCACTTTCGACAGTAACTTGGCAGGAATAGTTACTGCAGGTACTTGCAAGTTGCGAATTATTTAATTGGAAAGCTGTGACTCCAAGACGATGAGCGGCCCTCAATAGAACCTGGAGGAAAGCAACGGCGGTCTGCAGGGTAGGTTCTTTCCCTCAACGTTCACACGAGTGAGGCTACCGCATCTTTACAAAATGGAGGGGATGACCTTGTGTCGTGGATGCCATCACGTGAAGGTCCCTGCTACAAAGCACGACACTGACTCTTTCCTTCTCCGCGCCATTCTAGGCCATGGTTCTCGCTTCATCATGCTCGGGTGCCGTTGAACAGCTGCACGGCTGACGTTCAGAGAAACATCAATGCCGCTCTGCCTCATGCAGCAATTATCAAAATACTTTGTGAGGAACCCTGCCTATACAGCCCAAATAATGTCTCTTCTAACTGTTTATATCATGGAGGGTTTTGAACAGGCGTCTTGCACGCAACACAAGCGACCCTCCAGGTTACAAATACAATATCTTTCCCGAAATCGATGCAAACCAGAGTTGAGCACATCAACACATAATTCATTGGGCCGGCGATAATTACTCCAAGAAGACGACTCTACCACAATACGAGCTGCCCAGCCACAGGCCGCAATCTAATAGCGACAGAAACATCACATTAGCTCGTGCGTGTCCCTCGCTCAGGGTGAAGACGGCGGTGAGCCATTGTATCGCCAAAGTCAATATCCCGAGTCCACGTTGAAACGGATAAAAATAGAGACAAAAGCTTCATCCTTGTGGTCTCTGCCAGACTAGCGCCGAGGATGTCTAATAATGACCCCAAAAGTGGAATACTCGTCCAATGGCCAGGGGCCGCGACTTTGCCTGTTGCAGTTAGGGCCATTCGCAACAAAAGTCGATGGCCAAGGGGCCTTGCCTTTTCCCTAGTTCTAATGGATCCGCAATCCTCGGGATGGACTGATATCAATCTGATTATTGTCGAGATCCAGATATTCGTGGCGCCGCCTAAGCTTTCAAGTGCCGGACTCGGCGGATTGAAGAGATTGAGACGAATATCAGTACCAACAATGCTAAATATATTGCAGGTTTCGGATACCGTCCCGCGCAGCTGAAAGAGCTGTGCCAAGTTCACTCACTGACGAGAGGGTCCAGGAGTAAATTGATTGGTGGTCCGTGATTCGAGATAGCAAATGCAAAAATAAATGGCAAGCGGGCTGGCCTCTCAGCATCGTTTGAGACGCCTCCTTCCGGTTTCCGACACTCGACGGAATAAGGTCGATGACACGCTAGTATTTTCAAACCTTGTTCGCGTCCATTCTCCAGGTTCCAATTACTTTCATCGTGTCAGTTGCTATATGCAGCATGATAGATAGTTCTTCGCAATTGTTTGTCTGCAGGGTGTACGTCAAAATAAGACAACTTTGACATGTCCTCGAGAATCATCGCGGTTCATGCGCTGAGAATTGGAACAGTCCATTGATATATGATCGCTCACTTCTCAGTCCAGTATACCTACCTCCTCTTTACAAAATCACACTTTTCTGTGGTCCAGCTGTAAAGCATACATACATTATACGCCGAAGATTCGGCCTGATCACTCTTGGTCGCTAGTCTCATTCGGGTCATCTGAGACTGCGCTGTGAAGGCCGCGCCAGAGTTGAAAAGACACACAGACGTCGTCCCACCAGACAGTCCAAGAAGGCGCAATATGGTCCCTACACTGATAATCTCATCATCTTGGTCCCGTAAATTTTATTCTACAATACTACAGATTAGGTGTGGCTGACTCTAGAGCCGCGCTAGAACCCCTACAGCCCATTCAGATGGAGAATCTCGACAGGAGGACGCAGTATCTAGTGTGGCCCTTTTAGGTTGGTCGGGATACAACAGGAAGTATCTTGCACACGTACTCTGAAGCATCACATATTACTCCCGATTTCTGCTATACCCTACGCGGCTAGGCATTTTCATGCTAACATAACTTCTTCACCATCGACAATGGGTCACGTATTCTGAGTCGGGATGAATTCGTGGAACTCCTTCATCGTCCAATAAGAGGCCAGTTCGGCTTTCAAGGCGTTGCAGTCTGTCTATCAGACTATGTATAAAGCCGTATCCCAGTAGCCCGGCCTCCCATGGTGTTTTACTTGATTCGCAAAGTGTGACAGAGACATCCAGCCGCCGGTTCGGCTTCTAAGAAATATACCGCATCTACTCGCTCAACTACTACCCTTCACCCTTCACTTTTGAGACCAACGGCAGCGCCCTCTCGGTTCATTTTTCGAAACGTTTCGATACACATCAAAAAAGAAAAAGGCAGACGTTGAACCATATACCATCCTTCCCTGATCAACCATGGCAGTCCCTCTCAAGTACTCCCCGCGAGTCTCTACGACAGAGCAAGACGAAACCTCCATCAACCTAGGAGCTGTTGACACAGCAGATATGATGGAAACCGTGGAGCCGGTGCCTCATGCGCCTACCCACCGCTTTTTTAGCAGGATGAACCCCATTGCTCGTGGCCACATTGTGGCTATGCTGGCTGAGTTCATGGGAACCATGATGTTTCTTTTCTTCTCCTATGCTGCCGCGCAGATTGGTAACGAGAAAGTCGACACTTTGGTGCCAGCTCTCGAGGCACCGGGGTCCAGTTTGTTGCAAATATCCTACATCAGCGCCGTCTTTGGCTTCAGTCTTGGTGTCAATGTCTGGATCTTTTACCGTGTGAGCGGTGGCATGTTCAACCCTGCAGTAAGTGTCCAACACCTTCGTTCTTTTGAGCTCTTTACTAATCCTTTCACAGGTCGCCTTGGGGCTGTGGATTGCTGGAGCCTTCAACTGGGTGCGCATGGTATGCGTTATTCCCATGCAATTTCTCGGTGCCATTGCTGCTGCCGGGTTGGTGTCCGCTATACTGCCGGGAGATCTTCTCGCTGAAAACGCCCTCGCGCCTGGCACCTCGGTGACACAGGGTTTCTTCCTGGAAACTATCCTGACCGCCCAGCTCGTCATGACCATCATCATGCTGGCTGTTGAAAAGAGCCGAACGTCTTTCATTGCCCCATTGGGCGTCGGTCTCGCCCTCTTCATTGATCACCTCATCGGTAAGCAATTGCTCATCCACAGTCACATATTCGAATTTCAATGATCATCATACCTTTCTGTCTTTCTTGCTTTTTATACTAACTTCTCTTCCAACCATAAAGGCATCAACTACACCGGCACATCCGTCAACCCAGCCCGCACACTTGGACCAGCCGCTATCAACGGCCACTTTGTCGGCTATATCTGGATCTTCTTCGTGGCTCCCTGCCTTGGCGCGGTAATAGCCGCAAGCGCCTACCTCCTTCTCAAAGCAATGGGCTACGAGTCCGCCAACCCAGGCCAAGACGACGACGGTTTGAGTACCTTCCGCATCGTTCAGGCGCCCATTCGCCCCGTGGCTGGATCATCCATTCATGACCCCGAGGGCACTTTATACAACGTCTATTTCCAGGACACCTCGTCAACGTCACAGCTGAGCAAGCAGGCGAGTAAAGAGCAGTATTGAGAGAGTTTATTGGAGTTGAATCAACTGGTTGTGCAATGTGCACTGTGCACGCACACACACCATACACACGTTCATTTGACACCATCCAAGAAACATCAGCCAGCGAGTGATGATGAGCGCGGTCATTCTTACAGTCATTCTTTCTTTCTTTGTTTTTTTTTGTTTTTTTCTTGGAGAGCGAACCCAATATGGTGCCAGACGAAACGGTCTTTATCCTTTTTTTTTTAAAAAAAAAAAAAAGAAACACACGACCTGTATAACACTACTTACAGATTGCATTTTTACATAGTTATCAGGGGTACGGCATATCGGTTGTTTGATATGTGAGTTAAAAGCGATCCTGTACCACCACCTAGTCTTTCTTTATAGCGGTTATGTTTTTCCCATTTCCCACCCCCCAGGAACTCTATTCAAACATCTTGCGAAGACAGTACACGAGGCTTGAAATGACATGCAAATTGAAGATTTTGTCGTCATGTGGTTTCATCTGATTGATGTACTCTATGCACTCCTGCGAGAATATTGGATGAGGCTTCTAGATCAAAGTCCAGACGCGGTGATAAATGCGATTATAGTTGAGGCTGACTCATAGCACACACAGAATACGGGGTACAACAAGTATATCATATTTTCCAGGACTTCTTGAAAGAAATTTGGATTTCGAGTAATATGTAGGGCAACGGAAGGGAAAATATACCGTCACTGGCAACGTCCTACGCTTCAAATCCGCCAATTGAAGATACATGCGCCGGCCATTCGAGCCGACGAAGTGGAATACATTCACACGTAAAATAGCGCGTAAAGAACATTCAACCCAATTCTTCAAAGTGATTGAATGAGGAAACGGTATACAGAGCCGATGGTAGAGACAGATACAGGAGAGATGGTGCCATACTAAAGCGAGGATTTCAATCAAGGTATATGATAAAAAAGAAAATTGTTACTATCAACAAATGGCAAGATGGCCGAGCGGTCTAAGGCGCCAGACTCAAGAGACGATCTTGCTTACGAAACGTAGGTACTTCTGGTATCGAAAGATGCGTGGGTTCAAATCCCACTCTTGTCACTTTTTGCCGTTTTCGTAGCCAACCCCCTGGTAATATCTTATCACGATGTACGCATAACTAAATTTGCCCATCTCTGATTGTTAGCCCATCATTTTTATAACAAATGGACGTGAGTTTTGCTGTCTGTGTGCGTTTCAAGTTGGTGAGTTATTATGTTGGCAGACACGTTGCTTGTGTGAGTAAGTATTCCGGGCCATACCCTCCTACCTAGATCAGGGCGATGGATGGATGTCATGTACTCATCTTGGTTGTTAAATCTACTAAATAACATTCGCGAGATTTTTTGATACTTGGTACCGCCTGTCTTTGGTTGGCAGGCTGTGGATTTGATTGCGGGCAGAAATACAGCACGACTTCCTGGAGAAACGTGGTGCGGTGCGGCCAAGGGACCTGATAGGCATAGAACATCAATTTGATAAACAGTGATCGGTTGGATTTGCACGAGATATGCAGGCGACGAAGGTGGGATTGGTACGAATTTAACACATTCTTATTGAATACAGTAGTCGTGGTGCATTTATCGGGTAATTTGAGATAAAAGCCCTGTTCCGTTCCCAATTTATCAACCGGCTGATCTCATCTGAACGGTACCATTTCTAAAACCAGACTGCTATCCGTGTAAATTTGAAATAACTCCAGAAATTCATTTCAGAGCCACCCTGATTCTTTGTGTCAAGAACTTGATAGCCTTGCCCTCGCCCCAGACTTTCTGAGCTTCAGATTGCCCAATCTTCTGACCTCGTTGACCGAACGCCCCCCCCCCCAAAAAGAGGTGAGGTTTGGTAGGTCGGGTGGATTCAGACCCATGATTTATCAACGAACCTGAGGGTGTGTCTCAGGAAGTCATCAGCGGATATCCTTACGAGCCATGACATTGGTCTCGGGCAGGGCGTATCGCAGGTTAGCGATTGATTTATTCCCTCTACGCCGCTCATTGTGCCGTTGCGAAGCCTTCTTTTTCTTTTTTCTTTCTTCTTTGTTATCATGCTAGCTACGTGTCAGTCGCTTTTCGCTCTTGGTTATCAGGACAGGTGATCAAAGCACCCACTGCATTCTACTTTGCTCTTTGTTTCGAGACCCGCTCGCCATAGAGCAAGGCTGGCGAGTCTTCTCTAGCCCAATGGCTCGCAAAAATAGCTGATCAAAACTAGAAGTGGCGCACAATGCGAATTTGAAAGTCTTTCACGACCTCCGCTGTAGATGTCATGTCGCGCCAGCCTCGATATTCCAAGGCATTCGTTGTTGTTGCTGCTATCGTGCGGATCGCTAGAATGAAACGGCACTCGACAATTGTGGTGGTGAAGGTTTTCGCCCATAGATGATATATGCTGTCATAGATTGTCGACATTTATGGTCAGTAATGATCCACAGGTTAGAACAAGCCATCATTTCCAAACTTACAAGGCGAGTAAACGCGCATGGATCTTTGTGTCAGACACTGACAGACCTGCTCTTGAAAGATGGGTATCTCATCCAACGGTATGCCCCCAGCCTGCAGTATCTTCGTTGTCGCCCGCACAAGCCTTAGAAGGTCCAGACACGCCCAGGTGCCCATCGTGCGGTCATGTGGGTCAATTGGCCACCCGTTTACTGGTGTCAAGACTTGCACTTCGGTGACATCGACAAACCCAATTTCAAGCATCCAGCGCTTGTATTTGCGAGGCACCCGAAAATCCCGTCCAGTCGTTGCTCCTCCAGCAAGCAGTCGTGGCGCAAACTCTCCCAAGGCAGAAGCACGGAGCTCCTCTTCGGCAGCGGCATCCTCTCCAAGGAACTCACAAGACCATTCGTGGAATTCAGCCCAGCCGTCCGGAACGAGGTTGTCGTAGACCTTTTGTATCATGGCTCGATGATCGGTAAAGGCGGACACCATCAACCTCCAATGAATAAATGTGAACTTCTTGTCAAAGATCCATTCCTCCTCGCTGTCTTCACGGATGAAGCTGCAATTTGGAGGAAGGTTTTCTGTCGGTTGAATCATACTGATGTCGGTCCCTATCACATTTGATAGTGGGTTCTCTGCTGCAAATTGCAAAGCCCATATACCTGTGCCGGTGCCAATGTCGAGCACTTGGGCAGAGTTCTGAACAGGAGCAAGGTGTAGTCTGTTTCCTAACCTCATCCTCCACATTTTGTGTTGCATGTCCAGCCGATCTTGTTCATCCTGTTTTTTTCTTGGTTTAGCGGTTGTACAAGGCCGAATCTCTCAGCTATGTCTACCAACTTACTCCATCATTGGGAAGAAGGTATTCTGCAGCAAGTATCAGCGCCTTGTCCAGTGGAGAACAGTTCGGATTTTTGGACAATCGGGACTCACTTCCTTCCCGGTACGCATTCCAATGTCTACCATGCTCTTCCACCGAAAGTGCATCTGGTATTGTGCCACCCCTGGACAGGTATGTTTGTTAGCAATAGACTGTTCCCGGTGTTGCTTGGCCTTCCAAGGGTCCCACGCAGGGTCTTGCTCACGTAGACTGTCGCGACGAACTGCCGGCCTCACTGCCCGAGACACTCTTGCGACTGGACCCCGGCGATGCCATGTTGGTCTCATTTGCACCAACGAAATAGCAGGATTACCTTCAAGAAGAGGATGTGTCGAAAGGATTTGAAGTCGCGGTCCAAGGTCAACCAGCCGGGAAAATTGATTCGTTCATAAGGAGAGCTTTTGCGAAACTCAACCATACCGGCATATGAGGCGTCTGCGTCCGGCATGGTCCACTTTATTGTACCTGTGCTTTGCCTTTCGGAGACAGGAGGGCCCCCATACGCCACTGCTGACTGGCTGAATCGGTTGTGTTGCAGCGACCGATGAGCACTCGATACCACCTTGTCATGAGATAGACGAGTGGAACAGCCTCGCTTAACGCTGCGTGGTCGAGTTTATTACTCCTTTATCGAGGTTCTTTGGGGCTTCTGGACTCGTACCCAATCTGGCAACCTGCACTGTGAGGAGATGCGCAACAGGTATGTCCATTCAAGAGCCACAGATTTGTATGAAGGAAATGTCTGTCATGGACTGAGTTAGCAAGTAGACACTTCGAGGCTCTTGCGTAAATCTGCGCTTTGTTCCCGTGTCGTATAGTTGCTGATAGAAGTGAACAGTCCGTGGGCTGTGGGAGCACTAATATACTTGCTTGTTGGTAGAGGAAGAAGGAGACGAAAGCCCAGAAGTGAGCTAGACGACCAGCGATCACAGCAACGAAGCAGTGATATATCATTTGAACGGTATGGTAGTAGTAGTAGGCAGGTTGATTGTTGGTGATATCACTCCTGGCTCTCGATACCGAAGGGAGTGCAAAGGCGGATGAATGACTAAGCCGATGACGGGCCGCGGCTGCCTGGCAGGACCAACGGTCACAACCCTGTCTCTCTTACATACACACCAAGAAACCACCCATCGTCGCCAGATCCAACCGCACAAGCGACAGACACGTGGAGATCAAATCTTCCTTCTCATGAATTACGTGTCACCCAGATCGATGCTTTGGCCACTGACGCCAATAAAACTCATTATCTCGAAGTGAAGCCCTGCAGGTCGAGGATCTACAATACACCGTGCAGCAGCATGTCCGGCTACTTCATACCAAAATGTCAACTTTTGACGGCAAGATAAGGGAGTTTCCCGGAGTCAGAGGTACAATCTTCAAGATCACACATGAAAGACAGTTTGCTAATTCATAGAAAACTGCTCGCGCAGTGGACTTCTTTCGCGCTATCGCCAAAGAACCCCCCTTGGCGTGCTTCCTCAGCCATATCCACAGCGATCATTTGGCTGGCCTGGATACGTACAGGGGCCGACCGTATGTCTTCAAGTCTGTTACATTATATGGAGCGATGCTTGTATCACTGACACCGGTGCATAGTGTGTACTGCTCTGCAGCGACTCGAGCGTTCCTATTGAAGCTTCAACGATACTCATCACGCATCAATTTCCCCAAAGGACTGATCGAGAAGCAAGAAATCACATACAAGCATCAGAAAGGCCGTTTGGTAACGTGGCACCCTTTGGTATCTTCGAAAGTCAATTTCTGCTGACTATGGCCCAGAAACCGCTTCCTCTACAAACACCAACCGAAGTGGAGCTGGAACCCGGCAATGTCATACGTGTTACCCTTTTTGATGCAAATCATTGTCCTGGCGCGGTCATGTTTCGTGAGTGTCCCAGTGCTCAGATGTTGATGTTTGAAAATTAATCTTCCAGTCTTTGAGAGAAACGGCAAAGCGGTACTGTACACGGGAGATGTTCGTAGCGAGCCATGGCACGTCAATACTCTCGCGCGCAGTCCTTGCATGTTCGAGTACTCCTCTGGTCTCAAGGTGCTTGACCGAATCTACCTTGACACCACTCACACCGAGGATGTGACCTTCCCGACAAAAGCCGAGGGACTTCGCGAGCTCATCGAAAAGGTCCAAAAGTACCCAAAGGACACGGTGTTCTACTTCTCGGCGCATACCTACGGATATGAAGATGTTTGGATTGCTCTCGCCAAAGCACTGGATACTCGTGTACGTATTTTATTGTGATGTTAATGGCTACGGGCGCAACTTGTGCCTGACATGTGTTGATTTACAGATCCACGTCGATAACTATAAACTACAGGCGTACGAGTCTCTTCATATCAGGATGAAAGACGATGAAGATTATTATCTCAGCCCAGAAGCGCCTGCCTTGGTCGGCTTCAAGTGTGGTAATAGGTTCCAGGCAGGCCTCTTGACAGATAAACAAACAGTTCGATTGCATAGTTGTGAAAAAGGTTCACGGTGTTTGACAATGCAACGGGACAACGTCGTCTTCATTACTCCGATCATAGCACACTTGTCTCGCACTGAAGATATGGCTGAACATGGTATTGGTGGCGGATGTGGCGACCTTGAGCACAATAAGGAACCAATAGTGAGCGCTGACGCTGCGCGAAATTTGTCACAAAGGTATGTGGAAACTCAGAGGATCAACTCATCTAATACACTAATGAGTATCATGTTTATAGGAAAGAGTTGT